TTGTGTGTATAAAGCTTTTGATAAAATGTATAGAAAACCGTTAAGTCTCTATATATACAAATTACATGTCAAATTGTTTGTCCGCGATGAAATCCGAAATGGACATTTGTCAATCGTGAATGATTTGTTCATTTGACCCGGGTCTCATCAAAGTATTGTCAGAGGTTTGCTTGTTATACATCAAAGGATTGCAATTACATGCATTGTTACCACGCATTCGAACCAAACGATTTGCTTCTTCGTTCGTCATACGTACAGCAAGAGAGTGGAATACGTTGCCAGCATGTATTTCCATCCAATTACAGTGTAGGTGTTTTTAAGGCAAGAGTTAATAGGCTTATGTTAAGTCAGTACGCTTCATCATCTCAGGCTATGTCACCACTTATCATCAGGTGGGATTGTAGTTAAGTGAAGCACTTGATATAATAATAAAAAATTTTTTGTTCTTTAAACATGGCTTGATTAGAATGACAGCTGTCATCAAAAGTGACGGCATAACTTTGTAGTAGCGTCACAAAGTAATGATATTAATCAATATTGGAAAACGAAAAATCATTCATTTCTGGCGAGTGAAAAATATTTTTGATGACAGTTCTTCATTTAAAAACGTGCATAACGTGCAGTTAGTATTAATTCATTATTGCAAAAAATAAGTCTAATAATTTACTACTTACAACGTTACCGCAAGTTGTAAAAATGTTAGAGATGGGACAAATATGAATTTATTAAATTAAAATAAATTTATTTTAGTTACTGTTTCAGAAAAAATGTTTCCTTTCAAAAAAACTAATGCCACTAAAACATAACTTGTAAAAAAAACAAGTCGGTTAATGTATTCAGTCCCTACTTAAGGTCCTTCTGTTTTAAGTTATTACGTAATTAGCTAACACATTTTATAGTATATATATAAATATATATATATATATATATATATATATATATATATATATATATATATACAACATGTAACATATTTAACGCACTTTGAGAAAGTAGTTTGTTCAGAATCGTTTACTGAATCGATTCCTCTCATTTTTAATATAGGTAATTTTTTATCCCAAAAATCATTAAAACTACGTAAATTACAGTCACACTAAATCTGTACAATCAAAACAAACTGAAATGGATCGTAACTTAAGGCAATAAGACTTCTAAGAGTGCAGTTTTATTTGTATTATTACTAATTCTGTCATTCAATAAAAATAAAGAAAAATGAACTTTATTTCAAGCACGTTAAAGTCTTTGCGTTCGTGGATTTGTACTGTGACCACAACATTCTTCCGGGATTAGTATAATTAATGTAATAAATAATTAGTGCATAAAATGCTTAACTAAAAATTCAGTGTATGTATTATGATTATAACATAATATACTAATTGGGGTGTCTAAGGGTGTGCGTTAATTATGTTACATATTGTATATATATAATCTAATTTAATCTAATATGTATTACTTGTGAGGTACATTGTGTTTTCATGCGATGGCCAAGAGAACATCTAAGGCAAGATCAAGGTAGTTTGGCTTCACGAGAGCTGGCAAGGGAGCTAATTGCTCTGTTTTTAGACTCTCGTCAGCTTCCATAAAGCGTTTTGAGAAGGTTTACTTCCTTCTAAGAGATTTTCCCTATTTATCGTTTCTAAATTCGCTTATTCGTTGTTTAACCTCGTTGTGTAGAGAACGCAGCCGAATTTTACTATCGTCCGTGCGATAACGGCCATAAGGTCTTAGTGCGATATTCTTCGCTCAAATCAGTTGTCGAACATCTGCCGAAAGCTTTGTGTATCAATCTCTCGACACTCGAACCTTACGTAAGCATTCGACCGCTGTATTGAAGTGAGTCAAAATAGTGGTAATCGCCTTTATGGCTTCCTTCGGCAAGTTTATCCTGTCCCGCATTGTGTCTAAATGCTGAGAATTCGTAGGCTTTAGTTTGATCTCGAGTTCACGCCAGTCAACGATGGTTTTGGTCTGAGGGACCTCGCCTACTGTCCGGCCCAGTTGTAATACGACCGGCCTGTGGTCCGAGGTTAGTTCGATAAAAGTGTCGATAGAGTTAATAGTAAGCGCTACATCAAGAACCTCCCGTTGTTGGTATATAGAGAAAGGATAGCAAGTTGGACTCTCGGGAGCAATAACATCGAAGTTGTGTCTCCGTGAAGTCACATAAAACATTTCCGTTTCCATTGTTAACGTTAGGAGTTCCAACTAACGTGTTTACTGTTTAGGCTTCCCGCAAGGGGCCTAGACCTAGTAGAGTCGAGAAGTCGGCTTCTATTATATGTTTCAGCGGTGGCTGATATGCCGATGCAATTATGACTGGTGGATGGACCTTAAGTGCTATCCTACAAGTCGATGCTTTTAAGTTAGCAAGCGGCGGAGTATTTATCGGTACACGGTAAAAGGACCTATAATAGATCAAGGTGCGGTCTTTAGGTCATTTCATCATTTTTTACTAAGGTATACGCAGCTCAGACTGCCTTCCTACTCGGGCGTTTGGGTGCACTCAGGTGTGCCGTGATCACTTACACAACTAACGTATCTAAGCCGGGCGAAACGCTCAGTGGCGGGCTTCACGGTTTTGTTTGCGTTGTTGGTTAAGGACGCGCTGATTGCGCGCTCTTTTTGGCCGCAGTGGCGTTGGCGGATAAAGGAGCCGAGTGAGGCTCGGCTCCGTTTTTCCGTGAAGCCGTCGTCATCGCGCTTGGCTCGGCGTTCCAGAGCGCCGGGGAAGGCCCACGGGTGGAGAACGCAGAAGGTGCGGAGGACGCGACGTCGTATAATGTGTCTACGGACATGGGGGTCGCAGATTCGGTGCTTTGTGCGCGCTAGGCTCGGTCGAACGTTCAACAGCGGGCATACGAGGGGCACACTAAAATGATCGGGAATAAGAAAAACCACATGCACGGTATAGTAGTATTCTTCATTCAACTTAATGCACTTTTCCATTCGTGCAAACCAATCATTAAAACAGTAATTCCAGTCTGAATTTGATGTTGACAAAATGTCTGATTTGTACGATTCCACAGCTGCTTCAAACCGTTGATCGCGTAACAAATCTTTCATTCTAGGGAATGTAAAGAAATCGTTTGGGCTCATATCAGGAATGTACGGAGGATGGCTCATCAGCTCAACGTTTTCCTGCTTTAAAAAATCATTTGTCTTCCGAGCCGTATGGGAGCTCGCATTATCGTGTTATAAGATGATGCGACGTTTCGGGTTATTTTTTCGGAATTCGGCTATCATTTCTGGCAACCAAACCGTGATATACCGCTCAGCGGTAACCGTTCTGCGTTCCTGTAAAGGAATTGTAGCAACATGCCCCTTTTTCGAGACAAACATAGCGGCCATTTTCTTTGCCACGCTGCGGGAGCGAACCACTTTCGTTGGTTTGACCTCGACTTCGAAGACCCAAACTGCTGACTGCTGTTTTCCTTCAGGTTCGTATGAATAAATCTATGACTCGTCACCTGAGACGATATTATAAACAGCATTTGACTTCCCTCCGTTAAATCGTTGCAGAGTATACCAGCACCAATCTACACGAGCCGCCTTTTGCTCTTCGGACAAATTGTGGGGAACCCAGCGGGAAACTAGCTTTCTTACACACAGCTCATACTGATAACAGCCCGAATCTGTTCGTATGTCACATGACGGTCATCTAATATAATATTTCGCACAGCTGCGATGTTTTCAGGCTTGACCGCTGTTCTTGGTCGACCTGCAGAAGAAACAGTGCTGAGCGACACACGACCGCGTCGGACCTAGGCATACCAGCTGTATATTGTCGTTTGACTCTGTGCTTCAACATCATAAATTGAAACGAGTTCGCTGAGATATTTTTATCTTGAGATAAGCCGCGACGAATATTGTGATAAATTATGGCACGGAAATGTTCACGCGTGAGCTCCATTCCTGTTAACGACGTGTCAACTTTAAACCAACATAGTTTTTGTTTTTAAACATTTTTCAATTGTTTGAATGTCATTAAGATTCTAAGAGGCCAGTATTCAATTTCTAAAAAAGGTTTTATTGTAACTCAATCCGAAATATTTTATTCCCGATTATTTCGGTGTGCCCCTCGTATTTCACTGCGCTAAGTAGGTCACCCAAACGTCGGGACAGACGCGACTTAGGAAGTTGGTTATTTCGGCCATGGTTATAGCCGCCATCTTGTCAGAGTCTTTAGCAAAACACTTGTGTACCAAGCTCCCCACCCACCGTACATGGGGGAGGTATGTACATAAGACGAACAACTATGCACCTAGCGCGACAAGCGAACACAGAAATTAAAACAATAGAATAGCCGCCTCAGGCGGCGAGTTTACAATAAACTACTTAGAGCCTACTGGAAATCGGCAGAGCGTGGGCCACTACACTAATCACAAACAAGGCGACGATGGGCCAGCAGGCCGGTGCAATCTGACGGCAGCAATGACGCACAACACCACTGAGCACTGCTGAGTAATAGTCCGGTTTATTGTTCTTTACACAAAAGCATTTTATGACTCGGGAGCGTATGGGTTTGATGATGTTTTTGGTCTTGAGCGCAGACAATTCAATAAATCAATGCGACCGACATTATCGAGCGGGTCTCATATCACGGAGTACTAACGCGAAATGATTAATTTGAATTGATTGACCTGAATGACCCGGTTCGTAAGGCGGATCAATACTTGAATGATCGGTTCACTGTCCGAATATAAGAAATAAAAGAAATGAATTAATGACATGGCTACTCCGTAACTACTCAACCGATACTAATAAAATTTTGTTAACGTGTATTACTTGCTCCAACTTGAGATATAGGATAGTTTCTATACCAATAAGTGACGCTCAATATTTTTATTGCAAATTGCAAGATTTTTAAAGTACAAAAGGTCATCGAGAAAGGCAGAACAAAGTCTGCTTGCAAAAATATCACAATTTGTACAAATAATGTACAATTGCATTAATAACCTTTTTGTAATTGTTAATATAAAATAATATGTGTTTGTATGCAGGGCGGTGTGTCCCTGGAGCTGGACAAGGTGTGCGCGGAGTCGGTGCAGGACCTGATGGCTACCATCGCCAAGCTGGACTCGAACGGTGTGCAGGTGGTGGCAGAGTCGCCGTCGCCCGCGCAGCACGTGCACTCCTCCACCGACGCGGACCTGCCCGCACACGCAAACGCACACACTGCAGCCACAGCGCACCCAGGTACGCCTTACGTATACGGTGCAGCCGTCGCCCGTGCAGCACACGCACACGCGTACACACGCACACGCACACGCGCACACACGCACACGTGCATGCACATGCCCGCACACACGCAGAAGAGCACGCACGCGCACGCACACTCGCCCGCACTTGAGCACGCACATTCACACGCACGCGCGCACACACGCACAAGCACGCACGCTCGCCTGCACACGCGCACACACGCACGAGCACGCACATGCCCGCACACACGCACAAGTGCTCGAGCATGCACATGCACACGCGAAGGCACACTCATCCGCACACGCGCACACACGTACAAGCACATGAGTACGCATATGCACACGCGCACGCACACTCGCCCTCACACGAGCACAAGCGCTCGAGCACGCACATGCACACGCGCACGCATTCTTGCCCGCACACGCGAACACACACGCACAAGGGCATGCACACACGCACGCATGTAAACTTTTTTATTCTATGTATTTACTAATAAATCTTCTTCATTCGGACATGATTCTCATTTGGTATTCTACAATTTTTGAAATTGGATTTGTCACGTGTTCTATAAAATAATGTAAGAAACACGAAATATAAGTAGCTGATTATTGAAACGTGTGAAGTTAGCGCATGAACGAAGCAAGTACACACGTACACACGTACACAAAATAATTACGTTTACACGTAATTCTTTTGTGTTGTATTGAACTATTTTTCGGAAAACTAGACCATTGAATTTTTTATTTCATTTAAGTATTTTTTTAATTGCAAATTGTATAAAACTTTTTACCTCTAACTGACACAAGCACTGCTAAAACGGGGTCTTTGACAAACCTCTTACTCTCCGGAAAATGAAAACGTAATAAAACCATATTCAATTTGAGATAGTTTCAAATAAAAGTAGAATACTTATTGAAATATTTGAACTTCAATATAAAATTTGGCTAGTCTGTAAAATAACCACAGTACTGTATATAACATATTTGATGTGCATATCTTTTATATTAAATATTATATGTGATAGAGCTAAGCTGCTGCTATATTATGGCTGTAGCACGAATGGGTCGGTTCGACCGGGGATTCTTAATCGAAGATAAATGTAGATGTCCATGGGCCACAGCATGCACTTCCATCAGGTGGACTGTGAGCTCGTTTGCCGTTATTCCATTTAAGTACTTAGGGGTGACCAGGAGATGAAATTCCTTATTTCTATTAAAAAGACCTCCGGTTCTATACACTCACCATACAAAACATAGCAGCATTAAGCTGCTATTTTCACTGGTAATTTGTTAGAGGATGATCCTTCTCTGATCTGCAGTGTGTCTATACCATGAAGAATAGTTATAGTTGTGTTGTGGTTGTCATCCTGTTTTTAGGATTTTGCTGTCAAAAATACTGCATAAAAATTTATTAGCCCTTAAAAGTTTTCATAAACAATGTGACATACTTAATTTCTTATTATTAATAATTAATTGCATGGATTATATTGAAATTGTGTGCAGGAAAACCGTTGGCGAGCTCGGGCACGGGCAGCGGCGACCCCAACGAGGACTGGTGCGCCGTGTGCATGGACGGCGGCGAGCTCATGTGCTGCGACAAGTGCCCCAAGGTCTTCCACCAGTACTGCCACATACCCACCATCGAGAAGCTGCCCGAGTGAGTTGCACCTACTCATTACCGGTCATTTATTATTATGTAATTATAATAATATCATCATCTTCACAAGTCCACTGCTGAACATAGGCCTCCCCCAAGGACTGTCACAAAGCACGATCCTGAGTCACCTGCATTCATCGACTTCCTGCAATAATCCATTGTGCTATGGACTATGGTGTCGGTTACTCTGGTGCTACTTTGCATATCCTCAATTTTTAAATCTATTACGCAGAATAACCTCGAGATTAGCCATCTCCATAGCTTGCTGAGCTCTTGAACTTCCTTCTACGGCCAACAGAATAAGACCATATCTCAGATCCATAAGTCAGCACTGGCAATAATATCATACTCTTGTTTAATTGGGAATAATAAAACAAATACGTAATTGGTGAACTTTGGCTTCCCCTATAGATTTCCTCAAATTATTATATATTTGCTGTAGTTGCCACGCTTGCAACTGTAGTTTTTTTTTATTTTTAGTTCTAAGAAGTCACTGTTTCCCATCTCCTGATTTTCCCTCTGCACCTCTTACGACACCCACGGTATGATATGGGTTGGGATATTATACAGCAACTACACTAAGCTATAGCGAATCGCTAAGTGAAGCACAATTCTGATTTCACAGTGAGACGGAGACTTGGCAGTGTCTCCTGTGCGTAAACTTCGCGGAGCTGCCTCCGGAGAGCGAAGACGACCTGGTCCCTGGGGTTTTGAGCCCGCGTCAGCAGCAGCTAGTGGAGCGCATCACGCTGGAGCTGTATTGCCAGTACGAGCTCAGCCTGCCCTTCCGCGAGCCCGTGCCGCACCACAACTTGCACTACCACTCCAAGGTACCTGCTGCCTGTGCTGTAACTAAGAGAATGAAGGTGTCACTTTGGAATTTTTCCATTTAATTAAATATCCCATTTAATTGTATATTATGCCTTATTAACATAAATATAGGGGATTATGTATCTTAATAATCTAGTTAACAAATTACACAGAATGGGCATAACTGTGACAAGCAGAAGTGACGAACGCATTACAATAAGTTCTCCCAATTTTTTTAAGTTTGTTTAAGTATTCGATATTTATAAGTTATATATATAATAAGTACTAAATTATGCCAGCGATTGCTCGCGAGTCGACTAAATATGTGGCTCCGACAAGATATCAGCGCTGCGGTGACTCTGTCGCTGCAGCGTCGAGCTGAGTCGGTCACCTTGTGTTGCTGCAATCCATTTTTTAAATATTCAGTTAAGTATTTCTGTTGTTTGTTCTGCCAGTTGCAGCAATAAATTAATTTCTTTTTTCTTCTATATTGAGTAAAAATGAATTGATTGTAGTTAGAGGTGTTGTGTGGCAAGTATTGTGAGAGCGGTGGCACGTGTTGCAGATCACGCGGCCGATGTGCCTGGACATGATCCGCATGAAGCTGCAGCCGCGCAGCGAGGCGCGCTACTCGCACGTGGCGCACTTCGTGGCCGACTGCCGCCTGCTGTTCCGCAACGCATACCACTACAACCCGGTACCGCACCCCCCCACAGCACACGCACACCCACGCACGTACACCATGTGAAATATAAGCATTCATCGATCGCGGTAGAGCCACGCTGCAGCTACATTATGCTTGCAACAAGAATGAGTCGACTCTACTAGGCTTAGGACCACGCTCTCACAGAATACCAGCGTGAGATAGCAGCTTAAAGGATGATTCACGTTACGCCGTGTAACCAGGCCGGGCTCCATCCAGGGCAAGTCCACTGCGCGCCACCCGGGCCTATCATTCGTGCTACACCGGGCTGTTTGCGTGTATTCTTTGCACGGTCGTATCTGTGATAGATCTATGTTTTGTGTTAACTAGTGATTTCATCAATCGATAGACGTGACGCTTGAGTTAAATCCATACTTCCATACTTTAATATTATAAATGCGAAAGTGTGTTTGTTTATTTGTTTGTCCTTCTTTCACGTCGCAACAGAGCGTCGACATGGCATGATTTTTTGTATGGGGATAGTTCGATGGCTGTAGAGAGACATAGGTTACTTTTTTCCGCGCAAAAACATCTTATTCCCGTGGGAAAATCGAATATGTTGCAAAATTAAATTCAGCTAGGTGGCGCCACCGTGATTCTACAAGACTGACGACGGTACGATGGACGAAAACAAAAGGTCAGAATATCTGAATTATTATGTCTTTTTACCAAAATTAAGATAAAAAATTTATGGATCTGTATTTTTCACGCAGGACCGGGAAGAGAGCGATAAAAAACATAAAATTCACCAGCTGATTTTCTTCAAACTTTTTGATGCATTGTAATTCACAGAATAGGCGATAACCTCGCAGACGATATTAAGTAATCCGTTGATGCTCTGCCTACCCCGTAAGGGTTACAGGCGTGATTATAAGTATGGATCAGAAATACTATCACCACCTGTCACGCTTTCACCCTTAACTATTGCTTAACTGTGGTAGAAACAGTTCTTAGTAAGCCTTATTAATAAGCCTTAATAATATTTATTGAACGGAAATGAATACAGTTCTTATATGTGGTTATGAATGAATCGGTATTACAATAAGAAAAATTGTGCAAAATTATAAGAAAAATATTTTTTGAGAGTTCTTATTATCTTATAGAAAGTGAACGTCTCCGTTATATATCTTTAAATAAAAAAAGCTGCGCGTTGAGAATTATATACATTTATAAGATGCAGTTTCTAGCGACGCCAATGTAAACCCCAGAGATTTAGGTAAAATGGTAATTCTGCCCTCATCATTCGTAAACAGTCCCCGCTACCTACATGAGTACACACAAGACGCATTCGCCTATGTACGAACGTACGGAAAACGTGATCTCTTTGTTACTTTTACTTGCAATCCCACATGGTAAGAAATAACCGAGGAGCTAATGTCTGGCCAAAAAAGTACTGATTGACACGATTTAGTTGCTAGAGTATTTAGATTAAAAGTACAAAAATTAATGTATGTAATTAACAAAGGGAAAATTTTCGGAGAAGTGCAGTGCTTCATGTATTCAATTGAATGGTAAAAAAGAGAATTACCGCATGCCCACATTCTAATATGGCTTAAAGAGAAGTTGCGGCCCTGCCAAATAGACGACATAATAAGCGCCGAGATTCCGGATCCTGAGCAAGATAAAGAATTGTATGATACCATCGTCCGAAATATGATTCACGGTCCACGTGGAGCACGAAATTCAATATCGCCATGTATGAAAGAAGGAAAATGTACAAAGAAATTCCCTAAACAGCTATTAAAAGAAACAGTGCACAATGACAATGGCTACCCTTTATACAGACGCAGAGCTCCCGAAGATGGTGGCAGGAAAGTTACAATCAAATCTCGCTCTGGAGCGTTCGAACTTAGATAACAGCTGGATTGTCCCGTATTCGCCCATTCTATGTAAAATGTTTAATGCCCACATTAATGTAGAAGCATGTAGCTCTGTCCGCGCAATCAAGTATATCTGTAAGTACATAAATAAAGGAAGCGACCAAGCAATATTTAATCTCAAGAGTGAGGCAAATCCCTGAAGTACAGACCTTTCAAGCAGGGCATTATGTCAGCAGTAATGAGGCAGCGTGGCGTCTCCTTGGCTTCCATTTACACGAAAGGCACATAAACAGTTACTCACCTTGCTGTGCACTTAGAAAATGGAGAGCGTGAATATTTCACCGAAAGAAATTTCTAAGAAAGAATTGCATCACCGCCAAAAACTACACTAACAGCCTTCTTTCAACTTTGTCAAATCGACCCCTTTGCAAACACGTTGTTATATTCTGAAATCCCCCGCTATTATACTCTGAACATATCTAGGAAGTAGTGGAAACGCCGTATTCAAGGCGCGCCTGTTGCAAATTGGCCCGGTGTAAAGTCTTCAGATGCCCTTGGTCGTGTGTATACCGTCCATGTAACTAATTTTGAATGTTTCTGTTTACGATTGCTGCTGCACCATGTTCGGGGTTCTACAGGATATAAAGATCTTAAAACTGTAACCGGTCAGGAATTCGCAACTTCTCCCTTCCATCTGGACAGCGAAAGCGATTAGACGTGCTCCCCGTAATCTTTTATAAATATTTTTGATAAATTAAATTCTGACCAAATAGTCAGTTTTTGGCAAGTACTAGGACTGCATAACTTTAGGGTGATACGCAGTAGTACGGTAACGGGTATAAAAGAGACACCAACAGTGGAGACAAGCAGATCGATCCAAATTCGCTTCACCGACGTCACTCCAACTACGTACGTATACGTCACAAGAGACGCTTGCCTTGATTCATAGGCGGAAGCGTTTTTAAAGAAAAGAAAAATGCCGCTAAGGAGAACACCACCGTCTACTTCGAAACAGGTAGCATCCCTGCTGCAGGTCCTTGAATCTGATGCAAATCAAAGCTCTGCCCCACCTACTGATACAGATAATGAAAGCTCCAATGTGAACAATCGGAATAGAAATCGACCCCGTAAACGTCAGCATGATGACGAACTAGCTTCTTTCATGGTGGAAATGAGGAAATCCATTGGAATTTTAACTAAGCAGCAAGATACAATACAGGAAAGCATTAAAGACATTAAGAAGCAAAACACTGACATCAAAGAATCCATGGACTTCATATCAAAGCAATATGAAGATATGAAAAACAAATTGGCCAAAATGGAATTAGATAGGAAATCCCATTTAGCTCATATTCAGAGTCTAGAACAAAAGGTAGAAAATTTGGAGAGGTCGCAAAGGCAAGCCAGTATTGAAATAAGAAACATTCCTATACATAAAAAGGAATCAAAGCAAGATCTGGTGCAACTAGTTAAAAAAGTTGGACAATCTGTCAATGTCTGTGTGGAAGAATTACAGATCCGCGACGTCTTTCGCCTTAAAACCAAAAAAAGAAAATAATCAGCCAATTATTGTGGACCTCACAACAGTTACGCTAAAAGAAAATATATTAACTTCAGTTAAGGCCTACAACAAGTCAAAGAAGGACAATAAACTAAATACTGGCGACCTTAACATAGATGGCGAACCCAAACCAGTTTTTATATCAGAGAGTCTCACCCAGTCGGCTAGGAAACTTTACTTCATGGCACGAGAATTTAGTAAAAACCACAACTATGCTTACTGCTGGACTCCACATGGGAAGGTGTTCCTACGTAAGAAGGAGGGTGCTCCATGCCGTCGCATTGACACGGAGACTGATTTACAGAAACTGCTCCAAACTCATGACAAATGACTACCTGCCTACCGAAATTTATTGCTCCAGTTTTTCTTTGGTAATTCTTTATCATATTTGAAAATACTTTTATACCTTATTTTAAATTTTTTGTATATTTACTTAGTTTTTTACACAATTTTATTTTTTTATGGTATGTACAATTATTATTCGTTACCACAATTTGTAACGTTCTTTGTGAACAAGGTTACCACATACACCTTATACAAATTAGATACGATATTCTTACAAGCTTTAGTTGTCGCAGAAACATTCATTCTTAAATGGGGGAACTATTACGCACCCGGTTCTACACAACTGATTGCTAGTATTTTTAAAAGGCGATCCAATAACGGATATCTCTGATGACATTGATTTTCTTGAAATATCTCAATTTATGGTGTGTAGTCCCGAATCTCTTATTAATTACATAGATTTATTGCAAGGATCTATTTCAGTTATGCACATGAATATACGGAGTCTATCATGTAACTTTGACGCATTTAATGTTTTATTACAGAGAATCTCTTTCCAATGCGATGTCCTCGTTTTAACTGAATGCTGGTTGAGTAAATTGTTAAACGTTCCAGAAATACCTGGATATATATCATATGCTTCAGGCTACCGCAATCAGAACGATGGAGTTGTAATTTATGTAAAGTCCGAAATTAAGCATAGTACTTCATTAGAGACTGAATTAAAGGACTGTAATAGTCTTATTTTAAGATTTGGGAATGAAATTGCGATTATAGCTGTGTACAGATCACCATCATATAACAATATTGATAACTTTTGCAATAGTCTTGAAAATTGTTTGACTTCATTGGCGTCTGTTAAATCAGTTATCTTAATTGGAGATATTAATATAAATATAGCTTCCGATAGCTCTGATTCAAATTGTGATAACTACATTGACCTAATGGCATCTCATGGTCTGCTTCCAACACATGTTACTCCAACGCGTATAAGCAGCTGTCTTGATCACGTTATGCTAAGATCAAATCGATGCTCTAAAACGTTTATTCTCGATTCGCTCATAACTGATCATGCGCCAATTATGTTTGTGTTAGAGGCAAAAATCAAAAGAAACCTAGCTAAAGCTGCCATAAGGAAAATTGATTATCCAAGTTTAGTCCAAGAATTATCTGTAACAGACTTTAACCCTGTATATAACGCTGCAAATGCAAATTTAGCAGCAAACTCTTTGGTTGATATAATATATAAAGCAATTTCTTGCCACTCCACATTAATCTACGTCCCGCATCGTAAACGAGCTATTAAGCCCTGGATAACACCTGGTCTT